AGAGAGAGAGAGAGAGAGAGAGAGAGAGAGAGAGGAGAGACATGAATAACTCTAATTACTTAAGAGAATGTCAACAGAAAGAGAGTGGCAAGAGAGAAACAACTATGTTGTGACACACAGGCTAAAAAGCCTAACCTATTTGGCAACCTTCATTTCCAAGAAAGGTTGCAGAAAATTATGTGTTTGCATTTCAGAAAAAAATTCTGAGAAATTGTTTTGGATCATTTTACCTAAATTAACCTTTAATTTTGTTTAAATACTTTTGGTCGTTGAGATAGAGTTTCACGATACAGTTCAGGCTGATCTTGAACTCACTTTGTAGCTCAGGTTGCCCTCAAACTAACAACAGTCTCCTCCTCAGCCTTGCAATTGCTGGGATTACAGGTGTGCACCACCACACCCAGCCTATAAATTAAAATTTTAAGGATATAAAGTAGTCTATTTTGGAGCAATAAATGTGGTTTCCTATAATATTTTAACATTTACTACCAGCAAAATAGAACAAAGTTGCTTTGAGGAATGTGCTATTCATCATCATCAGAGACAATAAATTAAAAATTCATTGTAGAAAGCTTTCTTTCTTCCAGAGTAACCTTAATCTTACTGGTTTTATCTATAGACTCAATTCAAAATCAGCTGTTGCCATAGATACAACAAGCCTGTGGGTTATGAAAATATGTTGTAGGGCTGAAAGGATGTTGGATTTTCCCAGCTATTAGTGTTAGCTATTATGCCAAGCAGGGGAAGTTGGGTAATATATGGTGTGCATTAGCATGCTGTTCTCTTTATTTTCACTTTCTCAAATAAGTACTTAGCTGAAAAGTATTTTAAGAATTTCCAGTGTTCTCTAATGATTCTTTTCCCCAGCAAGGACTATTTCTGGTTTTTACTGCTTTTTTCCCCCCTTCTTCTCCTGCTCTTCTCTCCTTAACAGTTACAACGCTTTCACTGGTCAGTGTAGCAGCAGAGTCATCCATACCACAAGTTTTGGTGGTCAGTGCAGAAAAGTGTTCAGTGTGAAAGGAAAAGATTTCTACAGATTGAGTGCAAATAGCCTTTGTTATGTATCCCAGGTTCTTAGTTACATCAATTCAATGGTTTTCTATGAATCTGCAATTCCACAAATTGTCAGATATTATTTACATGATTTAATATTTCTGATGCTTGTTGAGAACAGACTTACTTAATTTTGTGGTCACTTTTCATCAGTGCTTTCTGTGAGCTAATAAAGAATCATGCTTTCACTGGGGTACAGGGCAATGATACTTTTAATCTGTACAGTGTCAGGCCAACTCTCTTTAGCTCTCCTTTGCTTTCTCCCTCTTCCCCTACCCTCCCCCTCTCCTCTTTCCTCCTAAAATGCTCTTTCTGTCTGACACAACTAAATTCATTCTGTTTTGTGATATCAACACACAATCTATTCACACAAATAGTGATGACATTGTGGGTCATTTTTCATGATTTGGAGAAAAGATAGAGGAAAGACTTTCTGCTGCAGTAGTGCAAATATGTTCAAGCTATTCCTGTTGTCACCCCTCTCCTTTCCCATCTCTAAACATCCTTCTAGTCTGGCATGGTGGCACTCCCTGGTAATCCAGTACTTAGGAGGCTGAGGCAGGAGGTTTATTGTGAGTTTGAGACCAGCCTGTACTACAAAGTGAGCTCAAGGCCAGCCTGAATTGCATAGTGAAACACTATTAAAAAGACAAAAAAACTGCAAAAAAATCAGAAAACAAAACAAAACAAAAAAACCAAACAACAATGACAACAACAATGACAACAACCATCCTTTTGTCACCTCACAAAGTGAAGCTCCTGGCCTCATTCTGTTTGAGGCTGTTTCTTGTTCTGCTCACCAGGATCCCTTTTCTCATTCCTTTTTCTTCATTCATCTCTGAACTTTCAAAATTTTCAGTTTGGTTCTGCTTATCTATGACTTTCAAATGTTTAAATAAGACTACCATTCTGACAGAAGGTTCTTTTGTTTGCCCAGATTAACCAGCTCTAGAAAGTGGCTTTGAGTAGAAATAGAAAACTCACCATCCTTTTGTATAGGCATTCCTTGTTTAATGACCTTCCCAGTTAGTAGTTATTTGGACTTTCTACCAAGGAAGCTCTTGTACTTAGGATCCACCACTCAGGTTTATGCCCTTATTCTGATTTATAGTGCAGGAATATGAGTGGTGATGTGGCCTTATGGAGACTTTTCTACGGTATAGAACTATAATTTTTGCTGATCGTACTGTACAGCACCACAGTTTTATGTTCTGTTATACAGTACTGAGTGTAAGAGTTATGCAAGTAAAAGCAAGTTTGTCAAGTTGGTGTTTCCTTTAACCTTTTCTTTGTTCTGAATATTGTAAAGTACACACTATATTCAATTTCTCACTTAGGGACCAATTCATTTATCTACATGGTTGCAGGAATGAAACCTGGAAGTTTGAGAGTAGCTTTGTCTGCGGGCCCTGCACACTGCACTGTAGACTCATTCTGGTAGTACATAAGAGTGCTGGCCACTGTCTCCCTCAGTGGGCTGGGATCCAGCTTGTCATGTAGCTGCTGGAGGACATCAGCTTCCATCAGGGGAAATTGCACTGTCTTAAGGGGTTTGGGGGGTTTGTGCAGAGAGATCTGGTCAGTCTGCACCTGCTCTAGGGTATAATGGTAGAGCAGGGCTCCCTCATACACCTCTGTTTTGCAGGACACTTCCAGGCAATTGCTGCTGAGGAGGGAGTAGACCTTCTCTAGGGGAAGCTGGCGATACTTATCACTCCTTAAGAAGGCCACAAAGTTTTTGAGGATGTAGGTGTCCAGTTGCTCAGTCGGGCAGCTCAAGTCAAAGAGCTCTGCCAGCTGGTAGACATCAAGGATGTTCTCTTTATCCACCAAGGACATGAGGAAATCACAGCAGCAATGGACAATTTCTGGGATCTTAAGCTGGCAGGCAGCAATCAATGCCTCCTGCACATTGCTGAGGCTGGGCTCTAGCTCGGAGGTGTATATGAAATGCAGGATTTGGCACATGGCATTGTAGAATACACTGTGGATCAAGACCTCCTCCTGCTCCATTTCCTTCAAATCCCCCAGTAAACATACCTCTGAAGTAATCACAGGATACAGCCAGAAGGATTTGATGGGCCTCAATTTATCTCCCTTCCACCTCCAGGACAATGTCAAAGGATCCCACTGTCCTGAAGAGCGAGCAGCTCCCTTAGCAGGGCCTGGGAGTGCTTTGTACTGTGGTAGGTGTTGTTGATATGGTGTGGGTGGGGGGCTGTGTGGGCTACTTACAAAGCTGGGTGAACTTCTGCTCCTCTGCCATTCTGAATGCCACACCAGCTCTCACCACCGTGACCTGTCTGGGACCACAGCTAGTCGAGGCCACACTCATAGGAGGTGGGAGCTACATTGAATTTTTGAACTCTAAATTCTACATGTAAATTAGATATATTGTAATTTAACCAGAAAAGCCAGAACGGAGAATGTGAGATACATATATGTACTTTTTTTTCTTTATTCTTAGGAAGATATGTTGCTAATTCTTTCATAATAATAATTGGAAGAGTTGCATGCGAATTTTCTGAAGGGTCAAATCTGGGAATTTGTGGAGGAGGGAAATAAAAAGGAAGAGCATTTTTGACTTAGTTGGAAAGCAGAAATACTAAAATTTTTCAGTTTCCAAAGAAGAGGAATAATTTAATAACAGCATGATTCAGACATTCGTTCTCCTCAGCAGGACTTGGTTTTGGATTGACATCTGAAATGCCTTCCCAGTCACCGAGTGTGAAGGTGTTTGTCAGAGCAGTGGGAAATTATAGCCTGTTACTGAGCGAGCAATTGCAGTGTTTTGAGGCTGCAGCCTGAGGGAAGAGAGCTGGGAGCAGCAGGCAGCGAGGCAGTCATTCAGCAACAGAGCCCAGATGTGACTATGAGGCAGGCAGCATCTTCTGTAGTTCAAATAGATCAACCCAGGGCCCATTATGGGTCCACCTCTCTACAATGGGAAAGGTGAATAAAGAATTAGCAGGACACAAATATTAGTAAATGAACTAAAATGAATGCGTCACTTACCTGTTTTCATGATCAGCATTGTGGGTCTTGTTTTTGCCTTTTTTTTTTTTTTTTTTAAGATAAGCCTGGTTTCTTTTTGGGCGAGCTACTTCCTTGGATGTCATGAGTATCTTCTGCTGTATGCATATTTTTCCCGATAACAAGGATGGTCTTTGAAATCTAGGCACATTCCTACCTCATGTTGGCCTGGGAAGGTGCCACTGTGCTTTGTTCAACCTGAGACATAGCTGGAGGGAGTTTGTGCTCATTGCCAGCATGTGAGGGATTGCAGATAGATGTGAGTTACAGACTAAGTAGGAGAAAATTCTTGGATTTTTTCTATAGTTAGTCACAAATGTATTTCAGTGTATCTATATCTATATCTCTGTCTATGTATCTATGTATCTATCTATCAATCTCATTTATATTTATATAAAGAATGAACCCAGACAATATATCAAGTGATAAGAAAACCATATTATAAAAGCAATTTTAACTAAGGCTAAATTACCTGAGCTTTTGCTTGCTTTCTTGGAATGAGGACAATATACCAAATTTCCAAATTTACCTTTCTTTTCTTTTCTTTTCTTTTCTTTTCTTTTCTTTTCTTTTCTTTTCTTTTCTTTTCTTTCTTTCTTTCTTTCTTTCTTTCTTTCTTTCTTTCTTTCTTTCTTTCTTTCTTTTTATTTATTATTTTTTTCAGAACTGGGGATTGAACTCAGGCCCTTGTGCTTGCCAGGGAGGCACTTATTCTGCTGAGCCATCTCCCCGGCCCCTCAAAATTTACCTTTCAACTAGGAATAATTTGGTTCATGATAGAAACAGTTTACAAAATAGTATTTGTGTACTAAATCCTGTAAAAAAGCTTCATATGTATTTTTTTATACAGTTCGAGTATCCATAATCTGAAAATCCTACACTGGAAATGTTCCAAAATGTAAAATTATTTCAGCACTGATGTGAAAAATCCCATACCATGTAGCTTATTTTTAATGCAAAAAATGATTAAACAAACCACATAAAATTGCCTTCAGGCTGAATGTCAAAGGTGTGTGTGAAGCACAAATGAATTTGGTATTCAGATTTGTCCTATCTGCAAGCTATCTTATGTACATGTAAATAGTTCAGAATCCAAGAAAATCTGAAGTCCCAAATACTTCCAACCTCAAAGGATGCAGCAGCCAAGGGATAACTCAACCTGCAGTAACCCAAAGAGATGGGGACTACTGTCTATGTCTCAATTCACAGATGAAGAAACTGAGGCAAAAGGAGCAAAATATGCCTAGTGCTTGTAATCTGAGCTACTACTTTGAAGATAGCAATATGCTATACCATAACCACTGTTAATTTTCTATCATCTTGTTTAAAAATTCTATATAGTTGTTATTTTCTCTTTAAAATTAAAAAAAGGGAAAACCCTTGCAAAATAGCTTATTCATGATCAGAGAAGCAATAGATGACAAACATGGAATTTAAACAATAGAAGCCCAGCTCCAATATTATTCATCTGCTTTTAAACAACCCAGTTTATGCTTTAGTGACAGTTCTGATTAAGTCCATTTTTTTCTTATTTTCTGGCATGTTTAATATTCATAAATAATTTTCAACATGGGGTAAAGTCATATAATAATGTTTTCTGGCACCTTGATCTATATTTTTCTAGCCTTTTTTGAGTGGGTACATACTGTTAACATAGTCATAATTGGCAAGAGTTTTACATTTTTCTTTTCATTCTCACATAATCCAACAAGATGTGTATTTTGTCTTCACAAATGTAATTTAGGATGATTGCATAATATCCTATCATTTTCTTGTTTTAAAATCTTTTATCATTTTCTTTCCTTTTACTTTTGCTTTAAAAGTGTATCATTTTCATCTGTTCTGTTTTCTCTATGCTTATTTATACTTCGATCTCAAACACAGATGTGCATTATTATATAATAAAACACAGGAGCTGTTCCCAATTTGAGTATTTATATAAACTAGACACTGTAAAAGAGAGACTTTTGTTCATGTCTTCTTTTTGTGCTGTGAAAATTGATTTTTTTAAAAAAAAATTGTTGCCTATTATTTCAAAATGTAAAAGTCATTTACACAAGAATTCTTTTGAGGGCCAGGTATATAGTTCAGCAGCACAGCACCTGCCTGGTAATCATAAAGTTCTGAGTGCAAATTCCTTTATTTTATTTTATTTTTTATTTTTGGGGAAGGGTCTACAGGGTGTTCAGAGTCTCACTACTAGATCAGACTCATAGTGATTCTCCCGTTTAAAGCCTCCCAAATGCTGGGATTTCAGGCGCACTCCACTACGCCCAGTCTCAGTGCGCCCCAGGGGTGGGGCCAGCATGGCAGGCCTGGGGATTGAACCCCAAGCCCCTGTGCCTGCTTGCAGGTGCTTTAATCCACTGAGCTATTTGGCTGGCCCTTCTGAGTTCAATTTCCAATGCAAAAAAAAATTATTTTTTAAAAAATGCCAGCATTTCACTGACCTTCTCAGACCAAAAAGCTACAACTCTTGTTGTACAGGTCCTGCTTTACCTTGGTCTTATCCATCCAGTAGAAAAGTATGAAGACGAAATATAGGAAGTAAAGCCATGTTGTTATGTTGAGCTGTGGGGGACTCAGGTCAATAATTTCTGACATTGCCAGTTAAACAGAAGACCCAATGCTATTATGGGCTACTGGACTCTTTTAGAATATTTTGCTGAGTTTACACACCTATAATATTCAACAATGGAACTTAAAAAATTGGGATATAGCTATGAATGTCCATTTTGTATCTGTGTATTCAAAGTGGTTAGGATAGATATATAGTTGCATTCTCTTAATGAATAGAATGATTTGTTCTAGTGGTGTTTGTAAGTAGGATCACAAGTCTGCATCTTGTACAGCAATTAACCACTAAGAAGAATATATGCAGTATATTATTTGTTGAAACTGTACTTTCGATCTGATTTGAAACTGTCTCATTGCTATCTGTTTATCAATAAAACTTTGAAAAGAAAAAAAATGCCAGCTACTCTGTCCATCCAAGAGCTTGTAATTGCATAGTGTGATTTCCTGACAGATTCATTGTTGGGTGTCCCTTTTCGGCAGACCATATAGTCATGTTTTATCACCATGACTTTCAGTAGATGCTTCTAGTACTAATGTGACCAATCTTTTGTGTGCATTATTATACCTGATGTAATGCAAAATAAAGGATAAATAAATGCTTGTCTCTATGAAAGCTGGTGCTGTTGCTTCTCAGCCACGTGCACCCAAACTACAGTCTGCTTTGAAGTTCTTTTGGGCTGTCTTTTTGTCCTATCACTTAACATAAGAAAACAATTAGACTGTAGCATTCATTCCAGTGAAGTAGAATCAAGACATTAAGTCCACATCATATCACTTGGAACATTCCGAAACAAAGTTTACATGATCCATTTGCCATATATCATCTATTTGTATTCCTTTCTTTTACATGGAAAATCAAGATCCAAATGCTTTTTGCGTTCTCAGTGTAACTGTGCTATTATAGTCACTTCTAAGCTGATTGTTGACATTAAAGAAAAATAAGACATACTTATATACAAACCTGTTTTGTGAATCACTATGTGCTGTTATTTATATGATGTCTGCTGTTGACAAAGAGTAATCATGGAATGAATTCACTCCTTGAACTCATGCAGGCCTAATTTTATTTTATTTTATTTTTTGGCAGAAGTGGGGATTGAACTCAGGCCCTTGTGCTTGCCAGGGACGCGCTTATTCCACTGAGCCATCTCCCCGGCCCATGCAGGCCTAATTTTAAAGGTTTTACAAATTTCTGTCAGTGCAGAAGTTTGTCTTTGGAGGAAGACTACATAAAGAAAGCATCCATGTACAAATGTGTTTTGGGGATATCCAAGGCCTTATATGGGTCACAGAAAAAATTTTCTTTCTTTTTTTTTTGTAGGTAAATTTTAATTGTGATTAATGAATGTAGTTGGTCTTACCTAAACCAAATGTTGACAGCACATACATCATTAAGTGGCAGGAACTCTGTTGTTAGCTCTTTATCATCTGCTTCTTGCAGTTGCACTTTGGATCTCAACGAAGAGTATAATGAAAAGTTCATATGAATCATCAGCTAGCTTTTCCGTGTTCGTTGGTTTTAAGTGTTGGTAATGTTAACAAACGTGTACTTATCAAAAAGATCAGTTTTGCTGTTTAAATTAAGACAATAGTGTCTCCTTCAAGAGACAGTATTATTTCCTTAAAGGTACACTGCTATTACTTATTAATTCTTTTTGACAATCTATTTATACTTTTGCTTTCTTGTTAAAGTATTTGTTCTTTGAAAATCTTAAACTTAACCACTAGGAAGAGAGTGTGCAATGTGTTGATTATTGAAACTGTCCTACCAATTTGATTCGAAACTGTCTCATTGATATTTGTCTATCAATAAAATTATGGAAAAAAAAGAAAATCTTAAACTTATTTTCAAAGGATTTTTTTTTTTTTGCCTGACTCAGGCTACCTTAAGTGCAGGTGTAGTGTGGCAATGTGGAGCTGGTGCTCGAACCGTGGTCCCACAAACCCGGGTTTGCCCAGGAAGGTGCTTGAACAGTGGAACTAACTGGTAAGCCTCCCTAAAGTTGAGCAGGATTTTTTTTTGTTGTTGTTAAATTTATTTTCAATTCTTCTATTGTATGATTTTCATTTCTTTTTTGACCTGAGGGATTATTTCTTTTTGTTTTTTTCCCTTAATTTTATTGAGAAACAAATAGCAATGAGACAGTTTCAAATGAAATTGGTAGGAGAGTTTCAATAATTAACACATTGCATACTCTCTTCCTAGTGTTATTTGCTGTACAAGATGCAGACATGATATCCTATTTACAAACACTATTAGAACAAATCCCTCTATTCATTAAGAGAATGTAACTATATATTTATCCTAACCCTTTTAAATATGCAGATACAAAATGGACATTCATCTGTATCCCCTTTTTGTTTAGTTCCATCATTTGAATATTATAGGTGTGTTAACTCAGCAAAATATTCTAAAAGAGTCCAGTAGTCTGTAATAGTATTGGGTCTTCTGCTTGACTGGCAGTGTCAGAAATTGTTGACCTGAGTCCTGAGAGATTATTTCTGATGTGATTCCTCCATAGCCTGATGGATGTGTTTCTTTACTTCAGTTGCTACAATTTCTCAAACTTCAGTTTTGCGACTTCCATGTTGTTCTATGTCTCTGTCTCCTGGACTTGTTCTGGGTGGGCTGGATGACTGAGATTGCCTTTTGCTCCTTGTTTTGGCATTTTTGAAGCCCCCAGTGATTACCAGGACTCAGCAGTGGTGGGAGAGCTGTGGGGAACAGGTCAGTGAGGTTTCTGCTACCTGGGTAGGGGTCAGGGTAGACTCACCAATACTCTCGCTATTGGTGGAGACCAGCTGATGCTCAGCAAAACTTCCACACAGTTGGTGGATGCGGGCAGGACTCACCAGGACTCCAAAGCTGCCCAGTGTCTGCCTAAGTACTCAGATGGTGGGACTGGGTGCCAGCACAACTGCCACACCTCTGCGCTGGTGGCTCCCAAATCTTCTATTTTAAACTATCATTCTCATTCATGGATACAGATGCCTTATTTTAGGTGCTATAGTCAATGTTAGAAAATGCAATAGATGTTTAAAATGTGCTTGCTAAAAGTTAATGCCAGTTTTTTTTAAAGATACATGAAGCTAAAAGATTTTAAAAATATTTTATATTTTTTGAGGTACCAAAAATTTCATCTGAAAATACAAAAGACTAATTTTTTCCCCCTTCCAGTGTGTTCCTCTTTATTCATTTTCAGAGTACAAATTTAAGCTTGGATAGGCTGAATTAATCCAACCCACCTCTGGCAGGTACACTCAACATGCTGTATAAAGTATAACATTCAATTTATTATTTCTTTCTCAAGAGAGTTTTCTTTAGTCCATTAAGACTCAGCTCCCCTTACATGGGCTTTGGTGAAGGTCGTGGGGCAGCAGCAGCAGGTCTAAATCGGGGTGAAGGAGTTCGGTCCTTATGGGCTTCACGAGATCGATTTCTGACCACTTTGCTGTGAATGGCACAATTCACACAATAATGCAGCTCCACATACAGCTTGGGAAGCACATAACCATCGAAGACACTCGCTTCGGAAATGTCCCTGATGGCGGGGGCCTCCACTATGTTCCGAATGACAAACTTCTTAATAGCCTTATCCTTGGGTAGGCAGCAGGCGCAGTTAGTGCAGCAAATAGGCTGCACATGACTTTTTGGCACGACTGTTGTTCCTTCTTTTTTTCATCATCTTGGAAAGGAGGACCCGAAAGAGCTAAAAGACTAATTTTTAAGTAGTTTGTTATTTTGAAATCCCAAAGCTTTCATATTGGGCCACCTGAACACTCGAGATGGAAAGTGATCATGGATATGTACTTACCCTAAAAAGAAATTACCTTATTGAACATCTCACAATCTGCATGTTTTATCTCAGTAGTTCAGTTAACATATCATGCAAAAGAGATATAAAGAATATAAATTTTGTTTGTTTTATGTCTAAGACAGTTGTGGAAACATGAGCTATTGAAAGTAGTTATAGCTACTTCATATTGTGTTGTCCACACAGTAGAGATTTGATGTAAGGTAGATCTGTCCTCAATATCATTTAAAACTACAAAGTATTTAAAATAGCTCATGATAAAGTAGCTTAATGTTTAATTAAACTATTGTGAAGATAAGATGATTATATAGTCATTTTTCCTGTAAGTCATGGTCAAAATATGGACCTTCAAGACATGTTACGTACTCTAAAAATTCCTTAAATTGCTTCATGAGTTTGAGCCCCAAGGAGACCTCATCATGCATTAAAAATAAAAATTTATGTAGACTGGGTTGAGGGCAGTGGGGGCTGATCAGGATGTTGGATTGGGAACTACTTTCATTGCATTCTTTGTCTACTTTGTTGACGTTAGTTTTTCTTCTTCCCAGAGAATTATCATTTGTTGGCTATTCAGAACACTGTTGAAGTGGTTTAGTTCATTAATAATAACCCAGAAGTGGCTGTCTGAGCCACTCTGGGAGGAGCTATGTCAGTGTCCCAGTTTTCTTCCTTGTATGACTACAGTGCCTGCAGAAGATTAGTTAACTAGCGTGGGATGCGTTATCTGCAGTCTGTGTCCTTGGGAGGAGAATGCAAGGTTTTCTTTTTTTTGTATTTTAGGGAAGGGTCTACAGGGTGTTCAGGGTCTCACTACTAGATCAGACTCATAGTGATCTGCCTGTTTAGAGCCTCTCAAGAGCTGGGATTACAGGTGCGCGGCAACACACCCAGTCTCAATTGCCCTCTCAGTATGCCCCGGGGATCGAACGACTGGCCCCTGTGCCTGCTTGCAGGTGCTTTAATCCACTGAGCCATTTGTCTGGCCTCTAATACAAGTTTCTATACTATGTGGACTCAGGAAAAATCAAAGTGGCACAGCACTAAAAAAATTATTACCTAAAGACATTTCAGAGATTTTAATGGAGAATAACATGTAGTTAACTTAAACTTCTGTGCTTTAAAACTTTATAGAGATTTAAATTGCAAAAGAGTCCAAAATTGCAAGAATTCATTATACTCTATTCAAACATCACACATAGCTTAAGAAATGGCTGCCTACTCTTTGGAATAATAACCCCAGTTAAGGTGTTATCATTATTGGCTGTCTCCTGAGGGTTTTGGATTTTTAGAATACGCCATAACCTTTCTCATATTAAACGATGTCTCTTGAAAAAAGCTAAATGAAAAATTTATTTATATTCTAGAAATCGAAATGTTTTATCTTTCTTTTTTTAAAAAAATATGTGTCTGGTACAGAGTCTTACTACACAGCTTGGACTCATAGTAATTGTGCTGGCTCAGCCTGCCCAGCACTGGGATTACAGCCTGCACCACCATGCCTGGTCTCAGTGGCTGGCTCAGCGTGCTAGGGCGTAGGGCCGGCAGGACATGTGGTGCTGGGCATCCAACAAGTCCCTGCTCTCGCCTAAGCCGGTGCTTAGTCTACTGAGCTATCTCACCAGCCCTCAAAATGCTTTAAAGAAATGTTTTACTTACTTGTATTCTCTGTCATTTAAAGAAATCTCTGAACATCATCACACATCACATGATTCCTTAGTGCCAAATACTTGCAAGGATAGCTTAAATCTGTTGGCCTTCCTTAAAACAGGTGAGCTGCATTGTTTCTAGTAGTCCTCACTACCACATGAGATGGGCATTTGGATCCCTGTTCCAAGGATGGAGAAATAAGAGACTCAGTACCTCGATGAGAATTCATCCGCAGCCACATAGATAGTAAAGGAGTTTAAGTCTGGGACTAACTGACTTCATTGTCAGCTTATCTTGTTCCTTACACTGTTTTGCCACTACAATGGCCTCTTCTGCTAGCATCACGACATGGCACTGAATTCATGTGCAGTCTTCCTCCTATCAAGGGGATCATCCTTCCTAACTGCCTGAATATGGGATCCATATTTTAATATCTTCCCATCCTTTCCTAAGAAGTTTGGCTTACCGATGTTTCAAGTCAAATCTCCTTCTAACTGTCCCATAGCTGATGCCCACTCTTCCTTTTTAATTCCAAACAGTATGGGGGATTGAAACCAGGGTATTGCGCTAGGTGTAGGCTTTATCACTGAGGTATACCTCCAGTCCATACTTTGTTAATTTCTATTGTGATTTTTTAAAAATGCGTTGGCAAAATGCTTGCTCATATATAGAAATGTCATGTTCTAAAGTTACACATTTTTGGATGAATTTAGCAACCACAGATGTTAATGGTGGAGAGAGAGGAAGATGCAGTCAGAACTATGCTTTTAGGACTTAATCAGCGCAGAGCTAGAGTGCAGCTTGTGAAATCTCCCACAAGGGGTGGGAAGCCCCCGTGCTCCTATGTTTGTCTATTTGCTTTATGTTCACTGTGAATGAGTAAAAGGTCACTCTGGGCTATTCAGTTTCTGCTCAAAATCAGTGTAAGGTAATTAAAGTGCTCTCTCTCTCTCTCTCTCTCTCTCTCTCTCTCTCTCTCTCTCTCTCTGTGTCCCTGTCACTCCCCTCCTTCCTGTATTCCCCCTCCCTTTCTCCCTCCTCCCTCCTTCACTCTCTTCCTTTTCTTCTCTCTTTCCTTCTCTCTATCTCTCTTCAAAGGCTTTTAAAGTGTTGGAAGTTCTATTTTGTGTTTTACATGTATTTATTTTTGCTTCTGTTCTCTTTTTCAGATGTCATGATAGTGAGAAATTATGCAGGGTGTGTATCTCCCTTGTATTATAAATACATTCTTAATGTGAACTGCTTTCCTTTATGAGGGCTGGAAGCAAGTCTGTAAAAGTGGCAGTATTGAAGGAACATTCAGTTCTGTTCTGTGACAAGGTCATTTGGTAGTTAAGTTTTCTGGTACATCCTGCTGGATGTGGGAAGACTGGAAAAGGTGGTGTACTAGTCTCTGAGTAATTGAAGAGAAAACTTCAAAGGCACACTGAATTAGACTTAGGTAGCATGCTAAGGAGTTTGGATTTCATCTTGATCAGTGCCATTAAAAGACTTAATACAGGTACTGATTAAATGGAGAGGAAGAAGGAGGTTGGAGAAGGAATGATTTATTAAGATAAGATGTGGGAGAGATGGAGAGTAAAGGAGAGACAGGTCAACAGAATGCAGTGCTAAAGAGAAGTCAAATAAGATAAAGAATGAAAAATATCGTTTGATTTGGAGATCGCAATTTACTTGCCAGAAAAAGTAGAGATTCTGTAGTGTCATAGGGAAATAAGGTATTTTTGCATTGTGTAAGGCCTGGACTGAGCAGTATTAGAGCTTCAATTTTTCTGGGTGATGGCAGAAATTGGGGGTGAAGTGGAAGACTGACCTAGGTGCACTGACTGTCAACACAGAAGGAGGGGTTCTTGGGGCTGGTGAGATGGCTCAGTGGTCTAAAGCACCTACTTAGAACAAGCTTAGCAAAGCATCAGGGACCGCGGTTCAATCCCCCAGCACCACATGCCAGCCAGCTGCGCCCCCTGGTGGGCTGAGCTGGCCACACACACACACACCACTCTCTCTCTCTCTCTCTCTCTCTCTCTCTCTCTCTCAAATAAAAAAAAAAAAAAAAGAAAACTCCTTTAAAAAAGAAGGAGGGGTTCTTGGGTATTAGTGAAGGACTACAAGAAGGAGAAGTATTAGTGAAGTCAGGTTTATGTACTCATTCACTTATTTTATTCATCAACTATTGAGTCTGTGGTATGGGCCTGGGCTTGTTTGAGGCACTAGAGATAGGACAATAAATAAGCCACAAGCGCTTGTCTTCCAGAGTGTTGACACAACAAAAGAGGGAAAGCTTTGGAATGAGCTGGGAAATAATGTTCTGGAAATATAGATGGAAATGAGTTCTTTGGGAAGATGTTCACTTTGCCAGCTGGACTGGTGATGGGAAGCTGCTCCTTGATTCTATTTTGTCTCCTTTCCTTTCCTTTCCTTTCCTTTCCTTTCCTTTCCTTTCCTTTCCTTTCCTTTCCTTTCCTTTCCCTTTCTTTCTTCCTTTCTTCCTTTCTTCCTTTCTTCCTTTCTTCCTTTCTTCCTTCCTTTCTTTCTTTCTTTCTTTCTTTCTTTCTTTCTTTCTTTCTTTCTAGATGGTCTCACCATGTAGTTCAGGGTGGCCTTGAGCTCACTTTGTAGCCTAGGCTGGTCTCAGACTTACAACAATCTTCCTGCCTCAGCCTCCTGAGTGCTGAGATTACAAACATACATCACCATACCTGGCTTCTATTTTGTGTATAGCAAACACAGCATTTATTATGTATCCAGCACAATTTTAAGTAACCTCTAAAAAATTAACCTATATACTTTTGCTGCCTAAGAGTTAGATGTTAATTACCCTTCCATTTTATAGACAGGGCCACTGAGCCACAGAAAGATTGCCAAAGATCACCGTTAGAAAGAATCAGATATATGATGCAAACACATGAAAATCTTGTGTCACAATCTAGGCTTTTCTCTGGTGCGTTGTGCTTACAGGAAGAAGAGGACAGAACACTTACTGGCATCTGAGATAGAGGCTACAAATATAATCATACATTATAACCAATTTCTTAAAATCTGCAGTCCTTATACAGGTGTTTTCATTAAGGCAATGATTGCCAAACGTTAGTGTGTAGGAAGAATACTGGAATGCCTATAAAAATGCTGTTTGTGAGGCTTCTCTAGTTAATTTCTTCACAGTCTTTGGTTTGGGCTCAGGACTAAGCAGTCAGCTCATGTCATAGTTACTTTTCTTTCATTGCTGAGACAAAATGTGCAACAAATTAAGGAAGGAAATGTTTATTTAGCTTATGGTTAGTAGAAGTCTCAGTCTGCAATCAGCTGGCATGAATGCAGGGTAGCATGGCACAGGGGCAGCCCTCCAAGTCAGCAGAAGACAGTAAAAGCAGCAAGAGGAATAGAGGTGGGGGAAAGCAAGCTTCTTTTCCTCCCTATATTGGAAGCAGGCTCTCACCCTTTAGGGCGGGTGTAGCATTCACACCATATCTATGCCTTTCTCTTGCGTAGGCTGAGGATGTTTACAAAGTGAGGCCCCCTGCTGAGTCATTTAGTTAAACTTTTCAAATTGACACAGTGTATCAATGTTACAAGCCATCCCTTGTCAACTTGGCAGCCAGACACATTTCCAGTTACAAAGATATGCTTATTCTTAACATTTCACATTATAGCACAGGTTTAACAATCCTTAAGAATCAATATTAAGTCTATCAATATTGTGTTACATTACAACCATAACATTTTAACCCTTGCCTTCTCAAGAGTCATGCATAGCCCTTTACATAAGAGTTGCCTTTACACAGAATTATTCCAAAGATTGGGGCCAAAGGAAGTCCAAAATTCAGCAGGGCAAACATTAAGTCCTATAGTTCCATGTCCAGTACCTGAGGTAACCTGTGGCAAATTGTCAGCTCCAAATGACTTGTATGGCTTCACCCCTATGGTACTTCTGGCTGGTTATAGTTACCATGGCTTCTCTTTTAGGCCTGCTTTGCTACCTCCTCGTAGCTTTCCTTAGATGATCCACATTTGTGCCTTTTCCAATCTTCTGGCATTTCCACTGTCCCTTTTGGTTTTAGACTCATAGCCTCACACTGCCCCCTCAGGGGCACATTGGCTGGCCTCCCAGGCCTTCTAAAATCAGAGTGGAAGTCTTCTTAACCCCTAACTCTTGCATTCTGCATGCACCTTCAACCAGCACTATGTGGATGATGCTGAGGCCTGATGCCCTCTGGAGTAGTATCCTGGGTTTTGTCTGTCTTGGCGGTAGGCATCTGTTGCCTGGATCACTGGGCACTCTGGATCCAAATCTGAGGAAAAGCTTTCCTAAGGTGCAGCCATTCTGGAATGTGGTGCTCTATGGATTTCTCCTCAAAGAAAGGTCTTTCACTTTTGCAATTTTGAGCCTGCAAAGGGTGGAGACCTGCTGCTGCTTGTCATGCCCTCAGGTCATCTTTTATATTTTCCTATTCCTTCTCAGCAGTCAAGATCTTCTCAGCGCTATTTTTGTAGTTTATAATTTTACTAGAGTTTCTTTTCTGGCCAAACTCACATTATAAGTCATCCTGCTGGGCTCTTTGCTCTTGATTCTTAACACAAATCTGATTAAAAGTTATGCCCCCAACCTCAACATTCTTGAAATTTCCTCTGCCAGTTTAGTCTTCTGCCCTTCATCTCAGAATCAGGCAAAGTCTCTGGACATGAGTAAAATGCAGAACAAACTTTTTGCCGAGACATAACATACATCAACTGGAGTTCAGCACCAAGTGCAGTCCTTCTTCCTAGAAGAAATCTCCCAATCTTGGTCTTCCAGTAGAATAAGTGCTTGCCTGGCAAGCGCAGGGCCTGAGTTTAATTCCCGGTCCAGCAAAACAAACAAACAGACAAACAAACAAACAACCCACCTAAGGCAGGTTTAGCAGTCATACCATCTCCATGACTTCTTTTTTCACAGGATAAGAATATTTACAAAATAAGGACCTTAGCTCCCTGCTGAGTCACTTACTTAAACTTCTAAACTTCTCAAATTGACACAGTATATTAACCATTATACTCCACTGTTATGATTATGTAGTTCAGGATCCAGACTTTGTAATATACTGCATTAAAAGCGTTGATTATTAAAAACATAATTACCAGCGGAGATGAGGAAACACTCAGGTAATTATTTAAAATATCAGGCTTTAATAACTTATCATTATGAAGGACAATATGCTTGATTTATGAAATAGCAAATTTTATAGTTATAAGAAGGGAAATGTAAATAACTCAGAATGGGATCTGTAGAATTAAAAATTTATAGTCATGACTTCTACAGAAATCAATTACAAATGGAGATAAAAATATTTATAATTTTATGAGCCACAGAAATGAAAGAAAGATTCAATTAGCATTCAGACTTTTCAGAACATTTCATGTATTAGGTAATATATGTCTGTTAATTAACAGTTTTAAAAATTATTAATAGACATGTTACATGAATTGTTTTCCCTCTAACATTTTATTACAAGAATTTTTAAACATTCAAAAAAATTGGAAGATACTGAGGGTAGAACACAGGACCTTGCACTTGCCAGACAGGCACTTATGTCACTGAGCTAGCCCCAAGGTTTTTTTTTTTTTGTTTTGAGACAGGGTCTCACTGTGTATTTCAAGGTGGCCTTGAACTTGCTCTGATCCTCCTGCCTCAATCCCTATAGTGCTGCAAGTCATGCACTACCAACCTTGCCTAAGATTTCCTATTTATTCACATCCTTGCCAAACTTGGTAAAGCTTATCATACTGTTTTCGCCTTTGTGTGAAATACCCATTGTATTAAATTGCACTTACAAAATATCTACTGAACTTGAGGAAAAACAACTTCCCCGTGGTACCAGAGATTGAATCCAGGGCTTTGCACGTGCTAGACTAGTGATCTATCAATGAGTACACCCTCATACTTTTTACTATTTAGAGACAAGGTCTTGCTAAACTGCCCTGACTAGCCTGGAATTTGTAGTCTTTCTGCTAAGCCTCCTGAATATAGTATACCATTACGTCTAGTTTAGCTTATTTTCTTCTTTTCTCTTAATTTTTTATTTTTTTATTTTTAAAGCAAGGTCTCAGCCCATTGTAGTGGTGCATGCCTGTAATCCCTCAGGACGCAGAGGCAGGAGACTGTTGCAAGTTTGAAATCCACCTGGGTTACAAAGTAAGCTTAAGGGCAGCGTGAACTGCATAATGAGACCCTGTCTCAAAAAGGCAAAACAAAACAAAACAAAACAAAACAAAACAAACAAACAAGCAAAAAAAGGTCTAGCTGTATAACCTAGGCTGACCTCTGAACTCGAACTCTGTCCTCCTGTGTCTCCCTGAAGGCAGATACCACCACACCCAGAGGCATTACCGCATCTTTTTGTTAAGATAATAAAACGTTTTTTTGGTAATCAGAGTATGAAATAGAAACTGTAGTACCTTAATTTCTGTACATCGACCCAGTGTTACATTTAAAGTAAAATATATTCTTATATACTTTGGTGGGATGTAAGGTTGTACGTTGATGGCTGAATGTTGATCTGATGGCTGTACCCTCTTAATAAAGACTCAAGGTTAAAAGAAAATTGGAGAAATGTAGTATTTAATACCCTTATACCAATTTCTTTTTTAAAAATTTTTTTCAAAGTTTTATTGATAAACAGATAGCAATGAGACAGTTTCAAATCAAATCGGAAGGACAGTTTCAACAAATAATACACTGCATATATTCTTCTTAGTGGTTGATTGCTGTACAAGAAGTGGACTTGTGATCCTATTTATAAACACCATTAGAACAATCATTCTATTCATTAAGAGAATGTAACTGTATATCTATCCTAACCACTTTGAATACACAGATACAAAATGGACATTCATCGTTATACCCCATTTTTTTAAGTTCTGTTATTGAATATTATAGGTGTGTAAACTCAGCAAAATATTCTAAAAGAGTCCAGTAGCCCATAATAGCATTGGGTCTTCTGTTTAACTGGCAATGTCAGAAATTATTGACCTGAGTCCCCCACTGCTCAACATAACAGCATGGCTTTATTTCCTATATTTCATATACCAATTTCTTATACACAATTATTATTTTGACATTTTCTTATATTTATAACATTCCATAGTTATTTATCAGTATATAAATCACATATGTAAAATATTTGCACTCTTGTCTAATGGCTCTAGCTAGTGATTCCAGAGGTATGTATGTGCTCCCATGCTTATAGCAGCACAATTTGTTATAGCCAAATCTTGGACAAAACCAAAATGCCCATCACTTGAGGAATGGATGAAAAAGATATGGTATTTTTATACAATGGAGTACTACTCAGCTATAAAGAAAAACGTGAGGCCTTTATAAGTAAGTGAATGAAACTAGAGGCTATCCTGAGAAGAGAAATAAATCTGACCCACACGTGTCAATATTGTATTGTCTTCATAGTGCAAGAACCTGAAAGAATAAATAAAACCTGAAAGGTATAATAGATATAGTAAAACAGAAAGAAAATGAATTTAAGGATTAAACAATAAAGATAAAAAAAGATAAGAGAAATGAGAAAAGAGAGGAAAAAAAGGAGGGAAAAACATGCAAGTATATATACAGGACAGTTGAGATGACTGTACTCATAATTTCCATCAGTTTTTTTTTGAAAATAGCAGTTAATGTTTAGAAGTTTCTCATTGACTGAGTATGTGTGCTGATATCGGTGACCCGAGCAACTACACTGAAGACAGCGCTGTGCAGTAAAAAACCCGCGGTCGCATCCCTCTCATCTTGGTCTTCTACAACCATTTCAGCCCGGGGTACATAGTACACTTAAGACCGACCTGAATTACGGAATAAGACACTGTCTCAAAAATTCAACAAAAATAACAATAAAAATCTTGAGGTATCATGAGGACCCATTAGTCAATATTATAAATATTCTTTTTGTACTATACTGGCCCTTTATACAGTTTTATTTTCAAATAAAGTCATTATATACTTTTAAGTGGTACAACAATTTAAGGTACATCATGAAAGATAGCTTGATTGATAATGAAGTTATCAATAAAGTTGCTAAAAAATAAAAAAAACATTTCTAATGTCATCAATTATACTCTCTTTAAAATAAATTAAAAGAAAAAAGACAAGGAAAAAATTAAGATTCTTAAAAATGTCAATATTCAGTTATTTCCCCAATCTTTCTTAGCTATATCTGTTAATCTGAGCAACAGATTTGATGATAAAAATAGAAAATATAACAACCATTGTTAATTAGCTATTCTTGTTTTGAAAATCTGTAACATATGTATTGTTGTATGTCACCCTATTTTTGCCTTTTTTCTATTTGTTTTTGCTTCTGTTTTTACTCTTCAAAATAAATAAAATTAAATTAAAAATGTTTACAGTCTGTGTTCTCTGACTTGCTACAGTGGATTTCTCCTATGTAGGAACTGAGAGCGCTGTGTTGAAAGGATAACCTTTCAAGGGAAGGGAAGTGCAGCCCTCAGATTTGGCCTTAGTTTCCTGACTCTGAATAATCCTGCTGAGAACAAATCCTGCCTGGGTAGAGGTCATACATAATCTTCCCTGAGTCATAAAACAAAAGGTATGTGTTGCTCCACTTAAAGCAGTAGGAAGCAGTCATGCTTATTTGCATTGGGAGAATGAGATTAGATCAACATGACTAAACATAGTCTGCTGCAATTAGCATTTTTTGTGTCCCAATTATGTTTTACATACTAAAATGAAGACATACATAACAGTAAGAGACAGAAGGTGTGGTATCTGGCATTTTTGTATCTCTGTTGTAAAGTTTAAATGTCTTGTAAATCTCAAAAGTAATTAAAGGTGAAAGTTATATTTTTAACTTCTGCTATAAATTTGATTATATTTTCCTTAGTTCCTAATTCAGAGGAGTTATGGATTCTTTCAAGGGGAAGACATTTAGACTTGCCTGCTATGATATGTTTCAAATCGGATCACCTTCCTTCCTTTGGCCAAGGCTTATCTGTTCCTGAAGATAGCATCAGATTGGCTGGCAGAATTAAGGATATTTTATTGATACAGTGAGTTCTTTTCTAACACAACACATGTGTTTCCCCAAGTCACTACACTATGAAAAATTGAACAAGCAAGACCACAAGGCTTGTATGGAAAAGTCATGTTTTGGAAATAACACTAAAAAAATCATCTGTGATGCTCATGAAGAGATAGTTATCAATAAAACATATATATATATATATATATATATATATATATATATATATATATTTCATATTACCTAAAAAATGTCTGAAGCTTAGTGGGTGGTGCAACTTGTGAATTATCTTGGAGTGATAAGAAGAAAGCAATCAGCAAGTAACACCAGATGATGGATGGGTGTAGTTTCTAATACAGGCAGTGAACTGATGGAGGGGTCTGAGGTGTGTACGTGCAGGTCCGTTTCATGCATTCCTATGTGGACTGCTTGGCCTGCATGCAGTTGTCCTTGTTCTCCAGTGTTTTTGCAGATAAAATTGAATCTAAGAAAATACAAGATTTGTAAGATGCTCACATTGTTCCCTAGTACAGGAATCTCAGTGGAACAAATCCAAATTTTCAAAACAAAGACTATAGCAGAGCTGATTTTATGATCTATCCCTTGGCTTGGGAATCTCAAGCAAAGACAGATTTTCAGTTTAAGACACTTGGACATGCTCCATATATTTAGAAAATTGACAGTGGCTCCTCAAGTACTCTCCTAACACCATCCTGCACCCACTTTCTCTGAATAAAGCCAGGAGTGAAAGGATGAGCTTCTTTTCCTCCTAGAATCTCTGAAAGTTCCATGTGTAAACATATAAGATGGCTTAGACTCATTGTCAGTGTTTCATACATCCTTTAAAAATCTCAGGGAAAAACAAGTAGTCTTCTCAGTGGAATAAGCACTTGCTTGGCAAGTGCAGGGGCCTCAGTTCAATCTCCGTTTCCATTGAAAAAAAAGAAAAAAAAAGAAAAAAAAGAAAAAACAAATTTATTTGGGGCTGGGGAGATGGCTCAGTAGAATAAGCACTTGCCTGATAAGCGCAAAGGCCTGAGTTCAATCCCCAGTTCTGCCAAAAACAAAACTGCTCCGAAAAGCCTTGATCTCAAGAGCCAGTGGTGCACACCTCTTCTGAATTGTGTGCTTAGAGCATTCTGGTTGTAGCCCCAAAATTGGCCACAGTAAAAAGAAATTAGTAAGTGCTATGAATCAGAGCCCTCTTCTACTGGGAGAGTTGACTGCTCAAATTTTTTCAGGACATCTGTGATTTATAAGTTGCTTTTCTATTAAAATATCCAACACAGAGAAATAGCATCTATCTTCTTCAGGTAAATGTCCACAATCTCCACTAAAATATATGAAATATCTCAGAGTTGGTAAGCTTAATTCTAAATTTAATAGCATTTGCTTCTTTGTTATAATTTAAATGCATTTTTTCCTATTTTCTATGAGGTGATACTAAATTGTCTTCAAAATAATCATCCATCAGGTAGAAAATGAGTGTTGTTCTGTAAAATTTTATACATTCATACAGAATCTAAAAAAAGGTATTCCTTTTCTAGTTAATTCAGGTTTATCTTGAATTTTTAGTAATAGAGTATATTTCTTTCATTTTTCATTTGAGCAAACAATACTTGTATGATAGTTTCCCTTTATCTGTAATTACACTTTTCTTGGTTTCATTTTCAGCTTAATCAATTATGGCATGAAAATATTAAATGGAAACTCTCAAAAATAAACAATTCACACCTTTTTGTGCGTAGTACTGGGCATTGAACTGAGGACTTTTGCACTGAGCTACACCCTGGATCCTTTACCATTTATTTATTTTTTATTTTGATACAAGTAAGATGCCCCAGGCTGGGCTTGAGCTTGCAGTCTTCCTCCCTCAACCTTCCAGAATGCTGGGATTACAAAAGCGTGCCACTACATCCAGTTCAATTTATACATTTTAAATAATATTTATTCCAGTATTGCCGCTCTATTTTATTATTATTGTTAATCTCTTTGTTTAATTTACAAATTAACCTCTATCATAGCCATGCTTGTACAGAAAAATTATACTATACATAGAGTTTGGTATTACCCATGGCTCTTAGCATTTATTAAGGTCTTGCAACAAATTCCTGATGAAAAAGGAGGGACTACTATAATGAGCACACGAGTGGATTTTTGCCTTATTCCTGTAAGGACTGTGGCAAATGTGAAGAGAACAACATGATTACTTAAAGCTCTAAACACTGACTTTAATTTCATTATGTGTATAGATAGCACCTCTACAGGAGTTGGGAAAGGAAGTACCTTGTGCTTCTGTGAAAACACTATACTTGAAATAGGCTCTTGAGGGGTACCTGGATGAATTTTTTTTTCAAAGTTTTATTGATAAACAGCAATGAGACAGTTTCAAATCAAATCAGAAGTACAGTTCCAACAAATAATACACTGCATATATTTTTCTTAGTGGTTAATTGCTGTACAAGATGCGGACTTGTGATCCTATTTACAAACACCATTAGAACAAA